AGGTCAGGTTAGTTGGTGTGAAAATCCCCTTCTAGCTTAAACCCTAACTATGAAAGATGTCATATAAATACCTGAAATTAAAATTACTTTAATCCTTGTATTCTAGCTAAGTTTAATACATACTGACATCTATGTTATCTGTCAGTATGATTAGTTCTGTCACAGGGAATAGTACAGGGAAATCTGCATCCTGAATGACATTGCATTTAAATATGAAAAGCAACGTGCAAAATGATACAAAAATGATGTGTACCCACCAGAGTTGCAGTTTTTGGTAGTAAAATGCTATTTTTTAAGCAGAAAAGCATGGCTCGGTGTGTCCGCTGGATAATATGAGCAGCCACTACATGCTGTACAGCTGCAGCAATGTCCTTAACGCAGGACAGGAGTTCACCCTCTTGAATACCTACAAAAATGTATGATTAGATGGGTTTTCCTGTGTATAGCTCATGAAGTACATGGGTCGTATCTGACTTGAAAAATACCTTCTTCTTTTTCTTTCTGAATAATGGATTTGTTGACAAGGCTCTGAAGTCCAGAAAAAGAAAAATGACAGTTACGATACTGCTGCATGGGAAGTCTGAATGTGTACCTTTGCCAGTCTCCAGTTTGAGCTAGGTGCTCTATTGCCTTCCCCCCAGCCATGCCGTGGCACTCTGGGTGCTTTATTAAAGAGAGCCTTCTTGCTACCTAAGGAGAAAATAGAGAAAATAGTTACAGGAGGACTTAATGTAGTTCTCTGCATCATTTTATGCAATCAGCATACAGGTTTTTTTTTTGCTACAGCAATGAGAAATGCAATTCCAGAACAAGTTGAGAAGCAGGACCAGCAGATTTTGCAGGAAATGTTGATTAGACCTCAGACTCTCATACTGTATTACTAGGTAAAGGAGAGCGAAGTTGTTTTCAGCTTTGAGCCATTTCCCATTCCAGCCCTCCTCTTTCAATGCATGAGCACAAATATAATTTGTTTAAAAAATATGCTTGTCTGAAAACAAAATTGGAAGTGCCTGATTTTATAGAATGCACTCAGTAACCCAAGCAGTACAGACTGTCAAAGCCAAATCGGGCTTTTCAAACTACTAAAAGAACAAATAACAACAAAACAGCTAGTAAAAAGTGTTTTAATATATATTGTTTTAGGTTTGGCAGTATCCTTTAAAATACTACTATTGATCTTATCAAGTTAATACAACTCATTTGTATAATGGTTCTCATCAAACCTTCCGTTACCAGCTTTGGTTATGTTATCTATTTGCTAAAAATACAATTAATAAGCTAGTTAGTACTGGTACTACCAAAGTGCATAGATGTCTAATAGCCTCTTGCATCTTAAATTTATGGTATTTCAAAACAGACAAATGTAAAGCTCCTGTCACGTTATACTGCTGTACTCAGGCTAATGCTAAGACTATGCTTAAGTAGCTTAACTGCAATAGAAGGAAAACAAGTAGATTCACATGTGCGTTGAAATATTACCTTATCCAGCATGTCACCTGGTGCTATATCTATGGTCTGTCCAAGCAGAAGGAAATCTGAAACTCCTCGTGCTACTGCCAAGATGCAGTGACCTCCGGAGAGTAAAAGAACTAAGAAGGGAAATTCCACTTGCTCTGTCAGTCTGATGGTAAGTGCGTGAGCCTCCATGTGATGAATGGGTATGAAAGGCTTCTGGTACCTGTCCACCAGCTGTAAGCTGTACTGCAGTCCCACCGCCAGGCTCAGCGCAAGTCCTGGTTTCACTGTAGTTGCAATAGCAGCAAGTTCATCTACAGAAACTCCGCTGGCACTAAGTGCTTCCTTTACTACTTGCTGGATGTTTTCTCTGTGAAGCTGTTGTGCTACATGAGGAATTATTCCACCTGCTCTAGTTAGAAACAAGTAATTGTAATATATGAGCGTTTCATAACACAATCACAACAATAGCTTTTTCAACATCTTGTAAACTTGCCCCACCCAGCCCTTTTTTTTTTTTTTTTTTTTTAGTATGTTTTCAAATGCCTTGTTTAGTCTAAATGACACAAACTCTACCTGTGTACTGAATGGAGCATAATTATCACTGGGACATAAGGAAAGAATCCAACTTTCCCTTGCTTGGCATGCATTCCTCTTAAATCTGCTACTCATAAAACTACCTCTATGCCATTCCAAAGCAATGGCTGAAACTGAACACAGCCTTCCACTTTCCAGTTGATGTACTTATCAAACAATGCCTAAGTCTGATTAATTTTCACCTAACTGAAAATATTTTGTGCTTTTAGTAGTGCCACTGTAGTGTTTAACCAAAATTGATGAAGAATTTGTGTACTTTTGTGGAAAGAAATTAGTACAAGAAGATGTAACTTAATAAATGCACAGCATTTCTTTCCACAGCCTTGCGGAGTGAGCTGGAGACAAAGAAAGACGGTCTTTGTAGGAGAGATAATGGCCTTAAGTTGTGCCAGGGGTGGCTCAGATTGGGTATTAGGAAATGCTTCTTCGCAGGAGTGGTGAGGAGCACAGGCTGTGCGGGGAGGTGGTGGGGTCGCTGTCCCTGGAGGTGTTCGTGGAAAGGGTGGATGTGGCACTGAGGGACAGGGTTAGTGAGCACAGTGGGGATGGGCTGATGGCTGGACTTAGAGGACTTTGGTGATTGTGCGATACCCTCTTCACATCAATTTTCCTGAGACGCTTTCATACTGAAGCTATCACAGATAACAGTGGCGAGACTACCAAGCACCTGCAGCCACAACCACGGCTGCATAAGAAGGATGCTATGAGCTGTATGCGCTTACTTCAGGTGCACCTCCTTTTGGCTCTGCAGCGCTTCTCCCAGCACCCTGCCCGCCTCGTCCAGCACCGCCGCGCCCGTGTCATCGCAGCTGGTTTCGATGCCCAGCACAAGTCTCGGGGGCCTCGCACAGCGCGTGGAGCTGCTGCTCAGCCACGCAGCCGAGCTGTGCCTCGCAGGCTGCAGGAGGCGCGTGGCCGCGCCGCTCATTGGCAGCAGTTGGTCTCGTGCTGATGTCTGGAAAGGAGCTGTACAACTGATCGTCACAGAGGGGTTTCCAAGTACGTACTGTTACAGAACTCAAGTGAATTAGCTGATTAGAAATAGAATACACCAGGTTGAGTCAACATCCCTGGATGTGCTTGAAAACCGTTTGGATGCGGTGCTCGGGGAAGTGGTTTAGCAGAGGGTTGTAAGAGCTAGGGTGCTATGGTAAGGACGTGGTTGGACTCGTTGATCTTTAAGGTGTTTTCCAACCTGAGCGAGACTACGAATTATTCTGGAATACCCCGCGGTTTTTAAGAGCTTAACAAGAACTGGCGTTGTTGTGGGAGGAGACGGGGACCCATGGCAGTGCTTTACCTGAGGACGATGCCTTCGGGATCTGCCCCGCCTACCGCAGCCCCGAGGAAGGGAACTCTTCGCACCGCGATCGCCTCGCGTCGCTGCCTCCGTAGCCCGATTCCTGCCTGCGATGAGCTTTACCTTCGAGTGTTCCTCGTGCTATTTCGCTGCCCACAGCCTGTTTTTAAGAGCCTGCAAACTGTGCACGGCGCACTAACAGCTACAACGTGGGAGGACTCAGCCCGGGGCAGTTTGGCAGCCGTAACCGCAGCCTTCCCGCCGTCCCCGGCCGCCATCACGGGGCGGGGCAGATCCCGGAAGTGACGCTGCGCGGTTCCGTGGCGGCGCCGCCATCTTTGTGCCGGAAGGTAGCGCGCCCCCTGCCGGCAGCACGGCTCCCCTCCGCCACCCGCGTCACCGCCACCCGTGCAACGGGGGGTGTTTTACACAAACGCTGTTGAGCGCTGAGGTAAACCGTGTAAGGGATGTCAGTAAGAAGGAGCCAGCTCAGGCTTCATTGCACAAAGAAGGAGTTATTTACTTCCAATAAATCAGAAAAGTCGCGCTTTTTGAACAGCGTCTTCATCACACGTTGGTAAATTATCCCGGCAGGAAAACAAACATTTTTCCTTCTCTCCCCTCCCAGCAACCAGCAGACAAAGCGAGCCTTCCGCCAGCTCCGAGCTGCCCGTGTCCGGCAGCCGTGGGGCAGGCAGGCAGGCACAGCAGCTCTGCACCTCCTCCCGTCCGCCGCCAGGGCAGCTCACGTGGGTCACGCACCGCTGCCGTTCCCGCACGTCTCCGTGCAAGTCCTTCCTGTTTTCTTCTGAAAACTCTACGCGGTCCGGCCGTGTCATCTGTCTCTCCACCTGCTGCTAGCACCGCTTCTGTTCTGACCTATTATCTGTGCAGAATTTCTCTTATTCCTCTCACTTGTTCTATGGTGTAGCTGCTTCTCCTTGGTGCAGGGCTCAGCAAGTCCCAATTACAGATAGAAAAGTCAATGTTCTGTTAGCAAACTGAAATAAACACAACAGTGGCAGCTTGCAAAAGCATACCTAAACTGAGCTATCGAGTGCACGTAGCAATCCCTGAGCCGACAGTTATGGACTTTCTCCAGTCTCTGTGACAAAAATGACAAGGACAGATAAGGCATGAATCATACCATCCCTTTTTACCAACTGTCATGGTATTTACTGAGACAATCTTGCATAATGCAGTAACAAACACACCCGTTCACAATCCACAGAGCAGGAACCAGCTACTTTCACCTATCTACAAAGTGTTGCCGGTCCTTTGAATGGAGGCTGCTGGATTTATACAGTAAGTTACCATTTGCGTCACGGCTGCCTGGCGCTGGTGAAACATTGCTCCCCATTTCAGCAGTTATTCATACCTCCCTTACCTGCCTCAGCCAGACCTACATCTACTTGTAGTGCTGATCACACCGTAGAGCTGGGCCTGCCTTCAACTTCAGGAAATCTCCCATCTATAAGTTTCCTATCCACATTTCGGTATTTGAAGGCATCTTAGAAACTCAACTTTCGCCCCAGACAGTGCTGCAAGGAAGTAGTAATTGTATCTCAGATGTAAATGCATCTCTCATTGAATACAATTAGATAACAGCGGATTATTCGTTTCCTTTGCCCAAGAAGCGGAGTCTGTGTCAGGATCAGTCAGCATCACACCTTCTGTCTAGTATTTATTGATGCCAAAGATTCGAACACCGTGCAATTGTGGCAGCTTGGGGATAAGCACTGTCAGAAGAGAGGTGGTGTTGAAGATAAAGTGTGTCGGATCATACTTCGTGTAGAAACTCGCCAGGAAGTACCTGCAGGAGAAAAGAGAGCAAGCTTAATTGCTGACAGCCTTATCCACAAACACACCAACAAAGCATGGCTGGAAAAAGATGCTACAGTGATCAGCTTTATTTTACCCGTTAACCATGGATGTGTTCTTGTATTAAATACCTCATCTTAGGTTCTAGGATGTTATACAACAGTATTGTAGACTAAGTATCTTCTTCCAATACTCCTCAAAGTGCTAAGAAACAACTCTACAGAAGTGTCACAGCAGTGTGTTGTTTTCCCTACAGCAAACAGGGAACATTTATTCAGCTTCTTAGGTGTGTGAAGAGTTGTGTGCAAGTGCTGTAATACAGCATTCCTACAGGAAACTATCTTTGAAGAAAGAAGATTTTTTTTTGAGCAGTTACACGTTTTTATTCCCATTTCTTTCTGACGTAAGACAACTTCCTATGCAGAATACTGTGTCTTCCCTCTCACCCCTCAGCCCTGCCAAGCAAGCAGGAAAAACAGAATGATTTTTTAGAACTGGATATTAAATACATATCAGATTTCTTTCTGTTACGCAACCATACTTTTGTCAACAGAAACAGGTGGTGCAGAATTTCCAATCAGTCTATTTACATAACTAGTGTAAACAGAAGGCAATCTGTAATAGCCTGGATCCCCTTCGGTGAGGACTGCCGCATTCCTCGCAAATGACAAGTTACAGAACGGTTAGCAATTACTGCAAAGTAATGGACATGCACTAACAGACTATTAGCTTAGCTTTTCAATATTTACGACTTCACCGTCTTCTTCTAAAGAACTTCAAGAGTTGATAGGTTTTCTCACAAGGTTTCTAATATTTAAAACCCATTCCATTAATAACTATTCACAAACTTCAACTCCAGTACTTTGAATTAGTGTTGCAAACTGCAGGAAGATTGTTGACTATGCGGCCTGTAAATAAGTACTCCCTAGATACAAGCAAAAAAAAAGAAAAGTAAATTGCAACTCATTTAATGGAGGCTTTTGAAGCCATGGTTTTGTGACTCACTTCACTCGTGATATAGTTTAGAACTCACAGAATTATAGGAGAGATTGTGAAGAATTTTCTTGAAGATGTAAATTGTACTCCATAATCCAGTTGTTCCCAGTGTGTCAGGAGCCTCGCTTTCCCCTGATCAGGTGTTTCAAAAGGAGTCCCCTTTACTGCATGCAAGAAGACATACGTTCCCTGGAGGAAAATAAAGGAATACATTGGTACCTTTAGCTATTACGTAATTGCTACATTGTTCAATGCATTGCAAGACAGACAAACAAACAAAACAAAAAAGAGTAAATGAATTATCTAAAAGAGCTGCTAACCTGAAATAACAAATTATAGGAGAGCAAAGAAGAGCCAAGAAGTGCTTTGCTTGAAGTTACAGTCAGTGGCACATTTTGCATTAAAGCCAAAGTCTACGTGAGGCACAACGCAATGCTTCCTCGTCTACATTAGATGGCAAAGATCACATGAAGCCAACAGAATTTACACAAGCACTGTAGCAAGTTCTGGGCTGATGATTTATGTTACTGCTTTCCTAGCACAGTATGAAATTGAGTTATGAGGCAGAGTTTGCACAAAGTAGAAATCTACAGCTGGTGAATACTGGCAATATTACAAGAACTTCCAAAAGCTTCCTCAACTTCCCACTAGCTTCAGATGCTTGGAAGCTGAATACCAGCAACCTATGGAATACCATCTGTCCCTCTCCTTAACCATGTTGGTTTCTTTGTTACTGTCTGATGGAAAGATGCCATGGCTAGGCTGTTCTGAAAGATGAAGTAGCAGCTGTCAATTCCAGATAGGAGAGCCCAGTTTCAACAAATGAGCAAAGCTTCCAATTTTAACAATCATTTGTCTTTTATCTGCCAACTCCAAGCAAGAGTCTCTACCAGAAAATATCAAAGAGTTCAGCATTCTTCCAGGTGCATTCACTTCTCATGCACAGAGATGGAAAGCTTTATCCAGAAACAAAATCTCGCTTTTCTGAAGTCTTATGAAGGAGGTGAAAGCTGACCAAGCATCTGTTTTTGAAACAGCCTCTTGCCTGGAGGTCTACTGGAGAATTATTTTGCTTAATTAATTATCTGATTCATGCTTTTTCCAGCACCTCAATTTTAATAACAACAAAGGCACTTTCAGGACATCCAAATGCTTACTCCACATTTCATTTTGCACTGATACATGCAGAAAGAACCCAACCTAAACCCTAAAATTGCTTTTAATGTCAGCTAAAAGTTTTCTACATTCAAAGATAAATATATAATTTTAAACAAAAAGTGCCATTTAAATGCTTCAATACCCAAAGTACAGTTTAAATCCATCTTCTGCATTCCACTAGAAAACAACTTGGCAAGTGCATGCTATCATCCCTGCTGTCATTACAGCAACCTACATGAATAGCACCATGGGGAGAAGAGAGAGAGAGATTTTCAAGATCTTCTGTAAGCAAAAGCCTCTGGAAGCTAAAGTCATAATTCATATCACAACCCACTAAATAAGAAATGGTTTCAGGGCTTGACCCAATGTGATTGAGATCTTCCCAAATACAGTGTTATGGTTTTTTTCCATGTCGTGCATAGGACAGAGTTCTGCGCTGAACTCAGTCAGCTAAAATTTGTCTGATTCGACTAGAAATTGAAGCAAGAAAAAGAACACAAATGCTTTTGTCTAAGGAAAAGTATCATCTAAAGCACTGAAATGAAACATGTTGAGATACAAACAGGTTTATACAGAAACATTAAAAGATAATACTCTTTTTAAATATGACATTCAGTGGATTAATGAATAAGAAATAGCTCAAAGCCCTCATGTTTAAATCCAAAGCGATCCTCTATCACTCCTCCTCCCCAAATGAGCCAACCCATTCAACAGTGGCTAAGCCACATACAGGTGTTTTTGGTTTCAGTATCCACACAGCCCAGCTATTCCTCTTTTCGCCTGCTTTTAAAATCAAGCATTTGTGAACAACTCTTTCAACAAGAGCGGGTACTCACCAGGTTGTGAATCACATTTGTTAAAGTCCATGCGACAGGGACACTAAAGAAAGGAATGCTGAGCAGGACGATGTGAAGCAGGCCGATTCCAAGCGTGTACGTCAGCCACATCCCACGGCTGCTCATCACCCGCGTGTTTGGATTCACCTCGCTGTGGGCAACTCCGACATTCATTTTTACCCTACAGAACAGAACTGTTCCTAAAGTGAGACTACTGTATTGTAGAGGTATCTAATACACGCAGCTCCAAACTAGGAAAGAGGCTGGTTTCAAGAAGTAGGTCTGGAATGAACGCTGCACACAAGCTAAGGCATACCTCAAGAGCTTCAAGTGAAGTGCGACTTATAAAGAAATCAAGACAAAAGGGCTGTTGGGGCTGTTTGTTCACAAAGAAACAACCAAGCAAATACAAACACCACCAGGTCTGCCACAACAGGGATGATGTGGGATTAGTGAACTGTGCTGTCACAAGGGCAAGGTGTAAACCAGCAAGGACACCAATCTTTGTAACTTTTATCCCTTCAGTTCCTTTCTTCTGCCACTAATGTCAACTGTGCTTTCCCAGTTCTCATCAAACAGTTTTCCCTCACCTCACTCACGTTAAGGCTATTTGGGAATTTTGCATATACTGCCTGCCCGGCAACCTGTTGCTAGGAAGACTGAATTTATTCCTACTTTTTTCGTAGCATGAGATCAGATCTCAGATTTCCATCCCCTGCAGGTTTTGGAACTCTTACCCTGCTGTTTTTATCTGATGATAGCCAAAGGCTCAGAAGGTTTCTACTTGACAGACGTACGCAAACACACACAAGGCAATTTCTAACCGCAATTTTCTTTAGGAGATCAGCCTGGTGAACTACAATTTGTATTAAGTACTAGAAAGAAGTTTGCTTCATTTCATGAAACATAAATAGTCATTTCAACATAAATAGTCATTTCATGACTATTTGTAAACATTTACAGACTGGGATGGAGAATTGTTAACTGCCTTCTGAATCAGTTGACAGGAACATTAACTAGCAAAAATAATTGGCTTATTTTTTTGTTAAGTAAGTTTGTTCCTAGTATTTATTCAGTATTGCAGAGCACCGTCATATCTGTAACACCACAGATTAATGCACTATGATGTGTGTATTATGTGTGTAAAACATGTATTAACAGTAGTTGGTAACATGAAAACAGATGAGAGGAGCCTGAAATGGAACTGTGGCGATGCCAATTATAATCTCCCTTTGTTGCAAAGCATTTCATAGTTAGTCAGTATTGTATTTCGATACGATGAACCTATTTTTTCCTCAGCATCTCTCAGTTAATCAGCTGGACATGTTCTTCATCTACTGCATTCCTGTGTTTTCTTTCCTATTGCCAGAAACGCAGCTGTATTTTGGCTTAAGAAATTGGAACCAACTTCTCTACTTCCACCAGACGGTCTCATTCCAGGCCCCTACAAACATATCTCTGCGTCCAAACACACCTGCGCACCCAAGACTGCCACAGCACAGCTGCTTTGCAGGGCAGCAGGCTCCAGCCGCAGGGTAGGAAGCGCGTGCTGCTACGTGATGTGCGTGGAATCGGCAGAAAGGTGAGAAGGCGTGAGGCGATGCTGCCGTGCCAAACGGGACACGAGCAGAAAGCATCTCACAGCCTGTCCTCTCACCTCACCGCGGACTTTTAGACACAGCGTGACAGAACAGCCCGGCTTGCTGCGGTGCCCCGTCCGTGGGGGTGCCCAAAGCCTGGGGCCGGTCGGGCTGCGAGCTCCCTTCCAACCCAGCCGTTCTGTCGTTCCACGTCCCGCAAGTCGGGCTCTCTGGACGAAGGCCCGCAGCAAACCCGGCGACCCGCTCTCACACGCCGACAGCGCACAGCCAAAACCCGACCTCCGATCCCGCAGGTCGGGAGCACCGCGACACGGACGGCCCCGGCTCGCCGCCCCGCCGCCCCCGCGAGCGCAGAAGAACGGCCCCGGCTCCCGGCTCCCGCCCGCCGCCACCGGCCGCGCGCAGCCGACGGCCCGCGTCCATCCCGCCCGTCCCGGGCGCCTCCCCACCTTTCCGGCGCTGCGGGAACTCCGCCGCCCGTTCTCCGACCGCGGCCGCCGAGGATGAGAAGCGCGGCAGCAGGTAGTGCCGGGCGGCCGCCCCGTGGGCAGGGCTCCGCGCGGGGAGGGGCCGGGCCGGGCCGCGCCGCCCACGGGGCAGCGGGACGCGCAGGTACGGGGGGCTGCGGGGTCGGGAGGGGCGCGGCGGGGTCGGGCGGGCTGTGGGCCGGGGATGGGGGAAGGCGGAGGAGGAAGAGAAGAAGGAAGAAGAGAAGGGCGCTTCTCGGAGCGCGGGCGCTGCCGCCTCCCTTGCCGCTGGGCCTAGGCCCGGGCCTGCAGCCGCTGGGCGGAGCGCGGTGCGGGCGGGAAGGGCCTCTGTGTGGGGCAGGGCGCGGGCTGGGGATGCGGCGGGGGTTTGCCTCTTTTCTAACACGGGCGGCTGAAAATGAGCACGAGCGTAGTGAGTTCTGCCTGTCGGAACGCAGCGTGCAGCCGGACAAACCTGGAGATTCGTCACCCCATCTTGCCCTCATGCTGCGGGCGTTCCGAGCTCGCACGTGCGTGTTTCTATGTTTATTTTCCTGTTTCCGACACGGCGAGCCCCAGAAGTGGTACCCGAGAGGCAGCGGGCGTGGATGTGCGCTACTCACGCCCGCTGACGGCGAGGTTTGGGACCGGGAACGGGCTCAGAGCCGCTTCCTTCCTCTAAGCCCTGCATCGCGAACAGCTCATAGAGCGTTTGGCTCTGTGATCTGCGGTGTTGTTGTTTTCAGCTCCTCCCTCCCCTTTGTCAGCATCTTTTCACGGAGATACCCGACTCCAGGCTGGCTCTTGTCAATAAATCATCAAACATTTTGCGCAGGAGTCCTTTGTGACATGTGGATGTGTGCAGAAGTTGTGTGAGTGATTAATGCTGGCCTTTATTCAGCAACACACCTCATCCTGTGTTCCTTCTCTTTGTTTGGTGGAAAACTGATTTGTCAGATCATTTTGCCACATCTGAAGGGCAAATTCTCTTTGGAATGTAAGTACTATGTATAAAAAGAAAAATTCTGCAGCTGTTCTCAGAAAAGCGCTCGTTCAAACACTGTAGGTTGAGTTTATTTGTTTTGCCCAAGTAGCCGTGTATGTGCTTGGCCCTTTATGTCAAGTTGTGCTTCTGAGAAGGCTCTCCAGGCAGAGAAGTGCTGTGTGCTTGCTGTGCCAGCGACACAGACCCTGCAGGATAGTCCTGCTCTGGGGGCTGGCTGCAGTGCCCTGCCTGCACACCTTCCTGCTATCCTGGCTGGGTCTGCTCCATTCCTCCCCACGTGCTCATAGCCTCAGGCTGGATGCTGGCTGTGCAGTCGGAGGACCAGTCAGACTGTCCTCCACTAGGTTGCTTGAACGGATGCAACAGGAGCCCCATGCTGTGGGCTTTGTTTGCCTTTCAGTACAAATTCAAATGTTTGCCTTCCATGTCTCACACTAGGGGGCTGTTGGATACAAAAGGGAGGTACTCCGTGAAGGTCAGGGTGGTATAGTGCTCAAATCGTTCTTGAGATGCAAAGAGCTGGTCATGCTCTTTCTGCCACCTTTCTCATATGTGTGAAAAACTGTGGTTGAGTTCTTTGTGTCATACTAGGAGGATCACCGAAGACTTCAGTTGGAGATTGGTTAATTAGGCCTATGTACGTACTTAATGTTTAATACCTGCAAAAATTTGCAGATCCACTTGCCATCTTCATGGCAGTATTACTATGTGTAACACAGCTGGAATTTTGTGGCCCTTTGTAAGTGTTTCCATTGAGAAGAGCATCTCTATTGTCTTATTATAATATGGGGCATCTTTATTTTCACGTGGAATACACAGGAATAAAGTGATCTGCCTGAGGGCATGCAGTAAGTCTGGTAAGAAAGGTAAGGTTACAATGCAGAAGATTTGGCTTTTTCTCCTCATTGCCAAGAGGTCACAATGCCAGCTAATGCATCTTTTTCTCACTGTGCTGTCCCCACCTTCTTCCTCAGCCCCACAGAAAGAGGTCAAGTTTCTTGAATTTTTGGCTGCTGGGAACTGTATGCAGAACACAGCAGAGCTGAGCTCAGAAATTTCAAAAGCAGGGAAAAAATAACGCCAGGAGTTTGGGAAAAAAATAGTGAAGATTCAAAATCCTTAGATTTTGTCATCAGTGCTAGAATTAGACATGGTACAGATAGATACACTGCCTGAAGATGTTTCTGATTAGTACTGTGGGTTACCACGCAGCCTGTCTTTTCTATTACAATCACAAGAGCATAACCACTTGTCATAGTAGTTTTGAGGAATGGCTTGGTAAATGTGGGGTTATATTGTTTTGCTGTTTTGCTCAGTGTATCTCTGAATTCTTGAACTTTTTGGAGGGTAGAAGTTTAGTCTGCTTCAGAAAGTATTTTCTGTTCTGGACTTTGGTATACTGTTCCTTCTACAAGTCAAACTGCCATTGGCTGCAGAGGAAGCACTGTCCAAATGAGTGTTTGCAACATTACCCTTCAGCCTTAATGTTATGTTTCACATATTTAGAAGTGTGTATTTGTAATGTGCCTTTTCCATTCCATTTCTTGTATCTTTCTATGCAGCTTCTCTAATTCCACTATGAAGCAGCTGTCAGCAGAAACTGTTCGTCTGCTTTCGAGTTCTCAAGTGATTACATCAGTTGTCAATGTGGTGAAGGAGCTGATAGAAAACTCCTTGGATGCCTGTGCCACAACTATTGACATTAGACTGGTAAGGCCCCTCTCCTTCTTGTACACTCGTGTATGAAAGGAGGGGCTGGGAAAGTTGTTCCTCTGCCAGTGTATTTTTCACCACATTGCTGTGGTGTGAGAGAACTTAGTGTTCTTTATAAGTATCTGTTTTAACCTCAAACAAAAATAGTCCAAAATCAGTTCCCTGATAAGTCAGGAGACGGGCTTACAGGAGTTGACCTGCAGGTGAGGTATTCCTCAGAAGCCATTGTAGTGGCAAGGTATAGGTTGAAGTCTGGACAGGTTTGTATCCTTGCTAACTTGATTAACCAAACTCCGATGGGTGACGTTATTTAGTGTCTTTGCCTGATGTGTCAGCCAGCTTTTACACAAGACAGGGAAACATGTGAGCTTGTAGTATAGCTTTAGATAATGTGATATTGCTTCCATTACAATATAAACCCAGTCATTTGATTAAAAATTGAACTGTGGCCAGGGCATTACGTGATATCTATTTGTTAATTTTAACCTCCACTGCGTTGCTATTAGAAAGACAAACACCCTGGAACCTGCTTTGTTAGCAGCAGGGTCAGCTACCTCAGTAGCATGACTGTGCAGTAAGCATATGGAATCATACTTTTATTCTTGATGAGATGTCCTGGGTTTGGGTGGAAGTATGCTGGAACCTGCTCCTCTTTACTAGGAGTGCAGAGACTGCACAGGCATCAGTCTTATCAATTTCCCCGACTGAGCTCTGGCAACAGGAATTCATGAGAATAATCTTTAAAGTCTGATTTATACCTGCATGTTCTAATTTAATAGAGTAGATGAGCAACAGCCTTTGTTGTTATTTAGAGCAGAATTAGGAAGTAGGGATCTCAGCTACAGGTTTGTTAGTGTTACATGAAGTGGCTGTTGTAAAAGGCAGACAGTTATTTCTGCTTCTCTTTCCCAGTGCAGAAAGTGGAAGCTTTAATTCTTACACCCCTCTCAGAGGAAGTTTAGCTCAGGATGAAAAGTTTCACTCAACAGCCGATCCATCTGGCTGCCTGAAAAGTGAAGACCTAAAACGACATGCTTGGCAATGCTAGGCCTTTCTGCCTTTCGTGATCTGTTCATCTTGCTAATGCTGAAGACCAGTGAGAAAAGTGGATTGTTTGTGCCATTTTAACAAGCTGAATTGATCTGAATTGATTTGCAGAGAGTTGTGGTGGAGCACTGGAGCAGGCTGCCCAGAGAGGTGGTGGATGCCCCGTCCCTCAAGGCATTCAAGGACAGGCTGGACCAGTCTCTGAGCAACCCAATCTAGTGTAAATGTCCCTTTTCATTGCAGGGGAGTTGGACCAGATGACCTTGAAAGGTCCCTTCCAACTCAAATGATTTTACTGTTGCATGATTCCATGATTTCTAATGGGTAGCAGAGATGGGACCATGAAGCTGTGATTAAAAGAACAGGGAGTTGCATGTCTTGGCAGCAGTGATCTCTTAGAGTAACTTAAAGATCTTACAGCATCATGTGGTATTTAGGCCATTTAGCATGAGAGAGTGGTGTTACAGAGTACAGAGTTTTAACACTGTAATATTTAAAGAAAATGTGCCTGAGTATAAGTGAATAATATTGGGATTGAAATGGGAATTTGTTCAGTAACATTTTGATTCAAGTTGAAGAAGACAAATCTGCTCACTCTTTTTTCCGAAGCAGACAAATGGCATGGTTGTAAAAATTAAAATGGAACACAGTCGTCTGTAGTAAAATGCAGAAACTGTGCATTGTAGCATACTGCAGCAGAGTAGGAGATTTTCTATGTCTTGACATGATTTTATGCCCAGTTTGGGTATATTATGGTTTCCATGTTGTTTTCCAGCAGGAGCTTGGTTCAAATATTAGCAAAAACGTTGTTTTTCAATCTGAACGTAATCTGAACATAGCACCATTGATTAACATGGAATGGAAAACATCTCCGCATTTGTAGTGCATATCAACTAAATGTTGCAGTTCTCAGCCTACCTCAGAAGCTTTTGATGTCTCGTAGCACAGACTGTGTGCGAATACACGTATTCTCTGTAGTTCGTTTTGCATTGCATTCATTTTTCTTTGAGAAGTAACCTGTAAGTACGTTACGTTTTCCTCAACTGCCTCCAGGCTGTGTCCAGGTGGAGCAACATGGCGAGTTTGTTTAATCAGTCATCTCATCCTTTGAGATGGCCCATCGTGTGCTCTGCACAGCATCAGTGGGCTATGGAAACATGGGAACCCCTCAGTTGAGACATTTTTTGAAAGCAAACCAGTTGTATGATTGCCACAACGTACCACACGCTACAGCACGCTTTTCTGGATGGTAGATCATAATCTTTTCAAAGAGCCACACGTGGCTTCTGGGAAAGAAGTTGGCT